CCTTCCTCGCCTGGGAGGTAGACGCCCTGGAGGCCGTCGTACATCTGGAAGTTGTAGCCTCGCTGGTAGCCGTCGTAGCCCTGGCGGCCGAAGCTGCTTTGCAGGTCGGAAGTCGTCGTCGCTGCCCTGGGAGCCGTCGTAGCCTGGGGGGCCCTTGTAGCCCTGGTGCCGTAGCTGTCGCGGCACGCGGGGCCTCTTTCGTAGCCGACCGGGACCTCGATGACTCTATATCTATATCTATATCTATATCTATATATATATATCTATATCTATATCTATATCTATACATATATTCATATGCGCCAGGCTGGCTGGACGCTGACGCACGATTCTGAGGCTGCCTGTTACGCAGCTCCTTGTGCGCATGTCTCCTCGTGGCGCTCCAGGACGAGCGCCTGCGCGGCGATGCTGTGGAAGGCAGCGCAGCCAGTCCCCCCAGCCTCGACGGGCGGCGTTGAACCAGCGCGGCGCGCAGCGCTGCGCGCACCGGTCTGGCCAGCGTGACGCACAGCCTGCCGGCCGGAAGTAGACCCGCCGTAATCGAGCGTGCCTCCCCAGGGAGGGAGGAGGAGGAGAAGGAGGAAGACGAGGAGTTGCGGGAGGAGGAGGTGGAGGAAGAGGATGATGATGATGATGATGATGATGATGATGATGATGATGGTGATGATGGTGGTGATGATTATGCTGCTGATGACGATGATGATGCTGATGCTGATGATGAATATGATGATGATGCTGATGACGCTGATGATGATGTTGATGGTGGTGGTGATGATAATGACAACGACGATGATGATGATGATGTTGATGATGGTGATGATGAAGATATGATGATGATTATGCTGCTGATGATGATAAGGATTACGATGATGAACATGATGATGACGCTGATGATGATGGTGATGATGATGGTGGTGGTGATGATAATGACGACGACGATGATGATGATGATGCTGATGATGGTGATGATGATGATAATGCTGCTGACGATGATGATGCTGATGATGGTGATGATGATGTTGATGATGACTCTGATGATAATGTATGGTGGTGGTGGTGATGATAATGACGACGACGATAATGATGATGCTGATGATGGCGGTGATAATGATGATGATGATTATGCTGTTGCTGATGATGATGCTGATGATGAATATGATGATGATGACGCTGATGATGATGTTGATGATGGTGGTGGTGATGATAATGACGACGATGATGATGAGTCTGATGATAGTGATGATGATGATGTTTATGCTGCTGATGATGCTGATGATGAATATGATGATAATGATGATGATGATGACGCTGATGATACTGTTGATGATGATGGTGGTGGTGGTGATGATAATGACGACGACGACGATGATGATGATGCTGATGATGGTGATGATGATGATGATTATGCTGCTGATGATGATGACAATGATTATGATGATGAATATGATGGTGATTATGACGCTGATGATGATGTTGATGATGGTGGTGGTAATGATGTTAATGATGGTGGTGGTGGTGATGATAATGACGACGACGATGATGATGCTGATGCTGGTGATGATGATGATGCTGATGATGATTATGCTGCTGATGATGATGATGATGATGTTGATGATGATGATGATGATGATGACGCTGATGATGATGTTGATGATGATGGTTTTGGTGGTGATGATAATGACGACGACGATGATGATGATGCTGATGATGGTGATGCTGATGATGATGATGATTATGCTGCTGTTTATGATGATGCTGATGATGAATATGATGATGATGATGATGATGATGATGACGATGATGATGATGTTGATGATGATGGTGGTAGTGGTGATGATAATGACGACGACGATGCTGATGATGCTGATGATGATGGTGATGATGATGACGATGATGGTTATGAACATGATGATGCTGATGATGATGAAGATGATGATGATGGTGATGATGATGATGATGGTGGTGGTGATGACGATGATTATGATGACGATGACGATGATATGGTGCTGATGATGATGATGATGCTGATGCGGATGGTGATGACGATGCTGATGATGATGATGCTGATGATGATGAGGATGATGATGATGATGATGATGATGATGATGACTAGCATGATGCTGGTGATGATGCTGATGATGCTGATGATGCTGATGGTGCTGATGAGGAGGAGGAGGAGGACGAGGACGAGAAGGAGGAAGAGAAGGAGGAGAAGGAGGAGAAGGAGGAGGAGGAGCAACAGGCCCATAATGTGCAGCAGGAGGAGCAGGGGGAGCAGGAGGAGCAGGAGGAGGAGGAGCAGAAGAAGGTGGAGGGGGAGGAGGAGCAGCAGGCCGATGAGGAGCAGCAGCAGGAGCAGGGGGAGCAGGAGGAGCAGGAGGCGGAGGTGGAGGAGGAGGAGAAGCAGGATGAGGAGGTGGAGGAGGATTAGGAGGTGGAGGAGGAGGAGAACGAGGAGGAAGAGGGGGAGGAGGAGCAGGAGGCGGAAAAGGAAGATGAC